ATCACTTTAGAATAAAAAGGAGTGCATTTCAGTGATTGCACACCCTGGGTTCAGTCTCTATTGTTACTGTAAACAAAAATAAAAACAAAATAAAAAATGAAAACAAAAATCCTCAACCAATTAAACAAAAAACCAAAAATCTCACAAAGAGTATCAAAGACAACCAGGATTGTGCTAAAGGACTCAGGAACCATCTTTATTTTTTAATTTCTTACTTTGTCTTTTTGAGACAGGGTCTTACCCTGCAGTTCAGGCTGGCTTTGAACATGCAGCAATCCTCCTGCCTCAGCCTCCTAAGTGCTGGGATTACCGGCATGTGCCACCACACTGAACCAGGAACCAACTTTAAAAATTGTTAGAAAACAATCTGAGCATCAGCAAGAACAATGTGAATCTCAAAGAAAAGTCCATGTGGGGCTGGGGATTTAGCTCAGCGGCATAAACATCTGTCTTGCAAGCAGGCAGTCGTGAGTTCAATCCCCGGTACCGGGAAAAAAAAAAAAAAAAAAAAAAAAAAGCTCCATGAGCTCGTAATGATAAAACAAACAGCTAAATACACAAAAACTTCATGGGTTTCTTTTTAATGATAAAACAAGCAGCTAAATAAACAAATACTTCATGGGTCAGCTTTGAAACCTTAGAAAACTCATTTTTTTGGGAGCTATTAATTGAAGGAACAAACTGATAAATCAAACATTTATCATTTTCTACCTAAATTGTACCCTAGGTAGACAGTTAATTACTGAGGGAAAGTTTCTCTTTGTAATCCTATTTACAAATGAAGGAATCACAGGCTTAGGCACTATTTTGCAGCACCTAATTAATGAATTAATGAATCTAAGTAATGATCATCCATGGTGGCCTGAGCCACAACAGAGAAATCGAGATACAGTATTTTGTGCCTTCTGATACTGCACAAACCTCCTGTGAAGTATTTTTGCAAAAAAAAAATTGAATTTGAATTGAATTGAGCCTCTCATGCTAACAATCAGTTAGAGCAAACACATGGAGACAAAAAAAAAAATATATGAACTAACACCCCAGCTATTACTAATGGGATCGGGGGAAGACAACAAACAAAAACCAACCTAAGTCCTCCAGAAATTATTTAAAAAAATAAAGGTTCATAAGAATTTGCGGTTTGAAAAAAGACCTGTGACAATCACAAATGTGGAAATTTGGATCCTAAACTCTGGGAGGAAAAAAGCAAACACTTTACATAAAGTAGGAACATCTACACTTAGTATTTATTAATACTAAGTAATTAACTTTAGAAGGTGCAATACAGAAGTCATATTTGGCCTCCCCCTTTAGAAATGTAGAAATCCGACGAGACTGATGTGTGCTTCAAAATAAAGAGGTTGGCTAAGCACCAGGATCACTCAAGAGTTCAAGACTAGTCTGGGTAATGTAGTGAGATTTTATTGTTTCTTTATTTTTTATGCCACATGGAGATTTTGTTATCATAAATTTCAAAACAAAAATGGAAGACTTTCCATATAATATTTATACCCTTCAAAGTGCAGTGTTAATACATGTCTGTCAGTTAGAAGTAACAGCAGTTTGTTAGGCTACAGGGTTTAACATAAAACCAACTTACAAATGTGAAAAGCAGCAGTGATCTGACATTCATCATCACACCTGAATCTGATTCTTTCAGGAATTATTTTAAAGAATTAAAATTTCAGTAACATGAAAAATTTAAATACCCCAAACATGCCACAATCGCTATTCACAAGTAAAGTTGAAATGAAATATCCAAAAACCCATTTAATACTGTTAAATAATAATAACCTACAAGATTTCTTGAACAGAAATGGTAGGGCCAATGACTGTTTTACGGTGAATGTCAGGAAGAAATTAAGTTATGGCTATGCTCATGATATATAAGGCAAAATTTTACATGGCCATTTCAAAATATTATAGTGAGACTTTAGTCTCAAAAATTGAACAATAAATAACCAGCCAGAAGGACCCTGCCTCTCCTGGGCTGGGGACTGTGGTGAAAATGATTGACAGCCCGTGATGTTTATGTAGAGAAGCCCTGTGCACAAGTCCTCAGTCTCCTGAGGGCGAAGGCGGCTCAGCTGGCACCTGGGTGTGCGTCGCGGGGGCCACTCAAGCTTCTCCATTCACTACCAGTTTCGCCCCGGCGTGTGCCCTGCACTGCTGCTCTGCTGGGATGGGCAGAGCAGAGATCATGAATTCAGCATCCACAAGGAATGGAAGGACTGGCATTGGAAAGGGAACACGCTGTGTTTCTAGAAAGGAAGAAACCAGAAACCAAAAACACAAACAACAGAAGACAGAAAGCTGCCCTGTGAGAGGTGAGGGCCGGGGGCTCCAGATGAGGACGCCCTGGGCATTTGCCCCCAGCCTTCCCAGGTCGATGCCTGGGATTTGTCATGACCCGACTGCCTCCCTGGACTGTCACAGATGGATCCCGGCCACAGGACCCTAACCCAGGTGCCACTGTTTACATGCACGTTCCTCGGCTGGCTTTTGTTATTTCCTTGCCCACTTGCCCCTGTAGAGGACTTATCTCAGGATTCACGGATTGGTTAGGAGGAGGCTGACATGCAAAACCACTTGGAGTTAGTGATTAAGCAAGCGGCTGTGTATCTATCTGGTGCAGACCCTGGGACTCCAGGGTCCAAGGACCCTGGAGTGAATATATACAAATACGTATAAAATCCCCTTTGTCTCCTTCACATTTCATGGGGGTGGGGAGGTTGGCTGTTTTGGTCAGTGCACTTGGCTGCCTCTGTGCTCTGCTTCTCAGCTCTCCCTGTCTTGTTAATTGCTCCCTCCAGTAAAGTTTTCACTAGAAAGTGGAATGAGGCCCTTAACTCTGTTCTGTTCCTGCCTATAGATCCCTCTCCTATGATCTTACAAAAAAATGTGTCTCTCTCATTTAAACTTGTAGTCAGCATAAAATAAACCAAACCACCCGTACCATGCCATGCTCACCAGGGCCAGGATGCCTGGCTCGCCCTTCCCCCTGGTCTTAGAAAGAACCCATGGGTGCAGGTGAAGATTGTGTGGTGCGGCACTCAGCCACTGTGAAAGCACAGTGCACCTGCTCCATGGAGCATGAAGACCTTTTCCTGGCAGGACCACATATCCCTTCCCGCCTGGTGTCCCAGAATCCCTTCCCACCTGGTGCCCCAGAATCCCTTTCCCCCTGGTGTCCCAGAATCTCTTCCCACCTGGTGTCCCAGAATCCCTTCCCACCTGGTGTCCCAGAATCCCTTTCCCACCTGGTGTCCCAGAATCCCTTTCCCCCTGGTGTCCCAGAATCCCTTTCCACCTGGTGTCCCAGAATCCCTTCCCACCTGGTGTCCCAGAATCCCTTCCCACCTGGTGTCCCAGAATCCCTTTCCCCCTGGTGTCCCAGAGTCCCTTCCCACCTGGTATCCCAGAATCCCTTCCCCCCTGGTGTCCCAGAATTCCTTTCCACCTGGTGTCCCAGAATCCCTTCCCCCCTGGTGTCCCAGAATCCCTTTCCCCCTGGTGTCCCAGAATCTCTTCCCACCCCATGTCCCAGAATCCCTTCCCACCTGGTGTCCCAGAATCCCTTCCCACCTGGTGTCCCAGAATCCCTTCCCCCCTGGTGTCCCAGAATTCCTTTCCACCTGGTGTCCCAGAATCCCTTCCCCCCTGGTGTCCCAGAATCCCTTCCCACCTGGTGTCCCAGAATCCCTTCCCACCTGGTGTCCCAGAATCCCTTCCCCCCTGGTGTCCCAGAATCCCTTTCCCCCTGGTGTCCCAGAATCCCTTCCCACCTGGTGTCCCAGAATCCCTTCCCACCTGGTGTCCCAGAATCCCTTCCCCCCTGGTGTCCCAGAATTCCTTTCCCCCTGGTGTCCCAGAATCTCTTCCCACCCCATGTCCCAGAATCCCTTCCCACCTGGTGTCTCAGAATCCCTTCCCCCCTGGTGTCCCAGAATCCCTTCCCACCTGGTGTCCCAGAATCCCTTCCCCCCTGGTGTCCCAGAATCCCTTTCCCCCTGGTGTCCCAGAATCCCTTTCCACCTGGTGTCCCAGAATCCCTTCTCACCTGGTGTCCCAGAATCCCTTTCCACCTGGTGTCCCAGAATCCCTTCCCACCTGGGAGCTGGCCTGACTGGCTCAGTCTTGGGCCCTAGGAGCAGTAGTACACCTGGAAGGCTGCAGAGCCAAGTTCAGAGAGGGTGCAGCTTTACCATCAGGGACCTCGTGAATGAGGTTCAGGGCTGAGCTCTCACCCGCAGGCAGTGAGATCTGTCCTTGGCCACCACTTCTCACTGAAATATGATGGTGGGCTGTGTCCAGGTGAGTGAGTGTGACCTCACATGCAGGTGGATTTGAAGCCTTGAAGGTGAGAGGTAGCTGGGAATGCACAGGGAGTTGGGCAATTGGGTAGACATAAAGGAGATTCATAGTTCAGACTGAACAGGCTCTCCCATCTGAGAAGCTGTCCTCCTTGCTGACTCGCATGATGGGCTGAAGTTAGAGGAAAGGGATCCTGAGTTACATGGAAAACCAGGAAAAATATACTAACTTGAATCCACATTTCCTTTTATAAAAATTTGCTAAAGCAATAGTGGGAAACTCCACAAAGACAAGACTACTCCCCTTCAAGACTGACCCCTACATGCAACTTTTTCTTCAACTTGATCAAAGATAGATGAATAGAGGTACACGGCCAACGAAAGGGTAGCACTGTCCACCTGCTTCCTGACCTGAGATGAACCCTTCTAACATGGACTTCTGGCAATGTTCCTATGTATCCCTCTGCTTCCACTACCAAAACTGTTTGTTAACTTTTTTTAGTACTGGCAACTGAGCTCACAAGCTTGCACTTCCCAGGCAGGCGCCGTGGTGCTGAGCTGTCTCCCCAACTGTTCGGTTCCCTTTTATTTTCTTACATGCTCCCCACATAGGAAATACTTTGGGCTTGGTGGTCTCTTGTCAGTTTTGTTGTAGCCTAGAAGTAGCAATAAATTAATGGACGTGACGATAATCCAACAAACTTTATTCACACTGAAATTTGAATTTCATACAACTTTCGTATGTCATCAAATACTTTTGTATTTTCCCAAACATGTGAAACTGTAAAAATCACCTTTAGCTTGAACTTCCAGCCAGCAATATTTTGCCCAATCTTGGCAGAGAAATGGAACAGTATTCACCTAGATCTGGGAATTCAAGGTGCTGGCTAAAATATCAAAATTCATGGCCTGCTTTTAGAACCATTTCCAGGTTTTCATTTGACCTCTCACTTTGGTGCATAATCCTGGTTGGCTTATAAGTGTTTTAAGGTAGACCCGAATCTTTGGCTTCTTCGTTTCTCTGGTGTTTTACAGTTTTACTTCTGAAAATAAGGGGAAAATGGCCATTATGTTCTTTGCTCACACAGGTTTGAGCTATTTCTTTTTTCTTTTTCGTAGTTTTCAGACTTTTTTTCTTCACTATAGTCATTTAAAAGTCAAATGTCATCCATGACCTTCTTTCTTTAGGTTCCTGGAAGGGCAGAACCATGAGTATCCCTCCTTGTAGCCTTGATCATCTTCATATTAGTGGTACTCTAGTACTTCAGTAGTTGGGGCTTCCTAGGACCTGAGCGTAAGGATGATGCTCGACTGACTATAAAATTCCATTTTAGTCCATGTCCAGCTACTTTGCCACTTCTGGACACAGTGTTTGCCTCCATTCGGTAGGCATCAAACAGGCAACTTGCTTGTAAAATCAATAGGATTAAGACAATTATCAAAGATAACAACTTCTAGCTTCCTTATCAAAGTTATAATGAATTTAAAAAGAAAAGGTTTGGGGGTTAGAAACAATTCAGGTTTGACCATAACAGTTAAAGATCTTGTGAGACAGTTCCAGGTGATCACTGACTATATAGTTCTCAAACTCGGGAAGCGTCTGGATGGGAGACCAAAAATTGGAAGGGGGAGGTGCATCCCAAGCTTCGCTACTCTGAAAGATTTGAAGAAACTATATGGGAGAGAAGATAAAAACAGGTAAAAGACTTTTTCAATGCTCTAATCTCAAAAATACCTAGTTTTATAAAACTGTAGGTTTTTATAACTGTAATTTTATAAAACTGTATAGTTTGTACTAAAACCTCTATTTACCATTATTTTACAATAAGAACACAATTACAAGTTGGGATTATGGGTTCTCATCCTTATTGTGTTACTCTGTGGCATAAGACCTCATGCAAGACATCACAGGTCTGACTTTCCCCATCTATACAGTGGAAGACAAATGTTGATCACAATTTTATGCATGTATTTATATGGATTGCCATTTGTAATTATTCTAGTGTTCAAAGGGGCTACCAGGGTAAAGCAAGGGCCACTGGGTGAACAACAGGATGAAGAATATATATACAAATGCAAGTGAATTGACATGCAAAGATAATGAAATTTAGTGCCTTCAAGGTGTGAAGATCAAACAGTAGCTGGGTACGGTGGTACACATCTGTGGTCCCAGCACTTGGGAGACTGAGGCAGGAGGATTGCTGCAAGTTTGAGGCCAGCCTAGGCTACATGAGTTCAAGGTTTGAATTGCACAGTGAAACTCTGTGTCAAAAAGACAGAAACAAAATACAATAAAACAAAAAACAGTGATGGAATGGGTTTGTGTGTGGAGCTGGTAGTATTTGTGCCGTGGGTTCAACCCTCTGAATAGAAAAAAAAAAAAAAGGAACAGGTGACTAAGTTTATAAACTATCAAGATACATAATAGTTAGAACACAATATAGTAGAAATTATACATATATATCCTCTTGTTGTCTATTTAATTCACTTGCCAGATTAACTGACAAACTATATTTTCTCTATAAATGTTCCTGATAATCTTGGCATAAGGCTATGTGTGATTAAATTTTCTCTTTTCTAAACAATTCTGTTCTGTTCAATTTAGTTTGTATGCTCAGGATGAGTTATTTGTGCCTCAAAGTTTATTCCACTTACGTAACTGTATCTCTGATTACATAATTAAGACATTATGTAGCCAATAAACTAAGTGCAGAATTTCTTCACTATGGAAACCAAATTGAACATTTAGAACTAAGGCTAATGATATTTCAGCTGCCACAATGAACATGCACTGTAACCAGATCATGGTTTCTAAGTAGCTGTCTGTTAAAAAGAATTTCTAGAGAAATGTTTCATTCCATATCTAAGGGACTGAAGTGCAGAGAGAATCAGAGATACCTGGGTTAGAAGGAAATTAAATGCCCAATAACTAGAGGGGGATGTGAAAAAGAACATAAAAAAGATACTTTGGTGGGTTCTGACTAGCCAAATTTGGGACACTTTACACATCAGAAACCACCGTAATTGAGTAACACATCGTGTGATTTGTCATCTCTGCAGATAATACCACCAAATACCTTACTGGTAATTAAACCTCTAAAGTGGTCATTAAAGGAAAAGAATTGAGAATAACCCTGTCATTAAGTGCATTCCAAACTAACAAGGGAAAGTTCTTTCTTGGAGATTAGTACCCAATGAATATGGAAAGAACAGAATTAGAAAATCACCATTTGCTATCTTTGATGAAAAAGTTAACTAAGGTAGGGCTTAGTATTGGGTATGAATATAACCACCTGGTCCATATGCTTTCCCACTGTTGGTCCAGAATGTTAATTACAACAGGCCAAAGTAACTTTATCCTGGGAAGAACTGGTGATTATCACTTGAACTCTATGATCGAATGTCACATCACTGACAGTGAGTCAACCTGACAGCCAGACAATGATGCAAGAGAAAATAGATCAATTAAGGGTTATGTTTACCCTCGGTCAACCAAACCTTTGATCTTAACTTCTAATTTCCAGAAACTTCAAAAATACAATATAGCACTTGTACACGTCAACAGTTAAATCCCAAATGTCAAACACCACATAACTGACTTGTTTTTGTAAAAAGAGGGAAAACAAAAGGTCGGGACTCTTGGGCAAGTCCAATCTGCAGCCCACAGGCTGCCTGCCTGCTTCTAAAAAATGTCGTCCTCACTCATATAAAAATGGAAGTTTTGATCCTTGTATGTTATTAACTGTGTTATATATTTGATATTCAGCCCAAGAAATTTGTCACCTTGAACAGCCCAAGCAAATCAAAGTCTGACTTGCTTGGGACATGAAACAGATCCAAGTGTGAAAACTGACTGGATCAGCTTTTCTTTAGAAGTGCAAATAGACACTACGGATTTAGACAAGCGTTTTAGAGGACTGTTCATTTTCTTTCGACTCTGTGGTTGTGGAAACCACTGTCCTCATTTCTATGAGGTGCATTTAGAGGAGAAATTCCAACTGTTTAGTAATATGCACAAAATATGGCAAATATGTTAGTTTTAAAATCCAGCAGTGGATATAGTTCATTTTATTATTTTAAAACTTCTACGCATATTTTACAACTTGTTTAACAAAGAGTTGGTGAAAATAAGGCTATTTACTAAAAAAAAAGAGTTACTCATGGTTCAGACAATTCTACAAGCAGGGAGAAAAACACGCACAAAATCCTAGTATTCCGTACTATTATATTCTATTATTTTTATAATGGCATCAGTTACCTGTGGGTATCAATGGAAGACTTTATAAGTGCACTATTTACATAAAACACAAAGGCAGAAAATGTGGAGTAATGCAAAGAAAGATACAGACTGTAACACTCCAAACTTTCATTCCAGAGGACAGAAGTATTGTGTGAGATGAAGCAACACCAGAAATACAATTGTTATTTTTTAAAAAAAAACTATGGGATTAAGCATAATTTGAGTATTTTGCAACCTGTACTTTGTGAAGGATGACACAATGAAATCAAGGTTAACTAATGTCAGGAAAAGGGAAAGCAACACTTTCTTTAAGAAAAATAGTCAACAATAATAGCTTTGAAGTTGCTGGCACCCTTTCCTCCTATCACCAATTTGCAGGATGTTTATATAAACACATTATGTTTAAATCAAACTGTATGGTCAATACATGCTCAAACAAATATTTAAGGTAGCAGAATTCATCAGTTTCCCCTATTTAGCTCAGGAAAACTTCTTTGTGCAAAGGTGTCTGACAAGGTGTTAACTGTTATGTATTTCATATGCAGCCCAAGAAATTTGTCACCTTGAAAGGTTTCTGATTTTTCCGTTTTTAAGTAGCTCCTATTACCTGGTAAATAAATACTCAACAGTCGTTAAACATTCCTTTTAAATATTCACACATTGTTTTTGTTTTGCCAATTTTTACTCCATGCTAGTCAGTTCTACATTTACTCAACTCTAATTTACATATTCATTAATTCGACCAACATGTATTGATCATGTGCAATATGCAAGGCACTGGAGAAACAAATACAAGCCAAATGGAACCCCAGTCTCATATTGTGGGTGGAAAACTATGGATATTAGATCAACAGTATTTTTAAAACCTATCTCTGCCAGCTTCCCAATTATGTTCTGTAGCCCCATAAACTTAGCTTTAATGATCACTACAGCAATGAAGTTTCTGTACAATATTCTTCCAATGGAAAAATTTTTTTGATGTATTTGAGTAACCTCTAATTTACTTGCATGTATGAAGGAGTATCAGGTTTGTAATTATTCCTTTAAAAGCTACCATTTCCCTTTTTCTTACAAATAGGCTAAATTTCATTTTTCACTTTCTTCATGTACCAAGTCGTTAGATCTGCTTTGTCAGTGGTCTTTTCTTTCCTCAGGCGCCTTTCACCTTGATTTTACCCTGACTCACTCTGTGGTGAACTCAGATCCACTTTTCCATTTCTTACGCACAGTATTTTGATAGCTGCCTTCATTACGTCCTGACTTGGGCTTTGGGGTTATACCTGCAACCATTTTAGCAAGTTTCTTATGCTCATTCTGTAACTAAATACTTAAGATCATGTCCTTTTTGCATAACTGCCGAACACTTTGTTGTTTAATCAGCTGTGATTTTCAGCACCATAACAAGCCCTGAAAGGGTTCAATCAGGAAATCTGGGACCTGAAAGGACAGGGGGGCACTCAAGAAATACGTTTCAGTGGAAGAAACGGATTTCCTACAGTAAAAGAGCCACAAGGGAACTTTAAGTTATGAATTTAGGAGTCAGGTGAAAAAAAACAGGAACTGTATGTTTACTTTTATCCTTCAAGATGACTTTGGATGTCAAAACCTAAGGCATACCTGTTTTAAACATTAGCATAAGATTGAGGTGCTCAAATTTTGTCTGCTTAGGTCTGTACACATGCCTAAAGGTTATACACACTAGCTTGTCTGTCTCAACATCATTTTCCATTAAGTTTCTCTTTAATTTTTCAGTATTTGAGGGAAAGCACAGTTAAATAGTGGTCACAGAAATCTTTGGGATACTTTCAATTTTTTTTTTCCTAAAACCCACTGGTTTCATATGGCAGTAATGGCATAGGAAAAGACCAAAGGGAAACCTTTACATATTTTAAGGTTTCAAAACTGGGATGAAATAAAGGCCTGAAAATAGCATTTTTCTTTCTGTGATCTTAGGATTACTCTCTAGTGTGAAATCTGTACTTGATGGACTGTACCCCAAGTTACACTCATAAGGCCTCTAAAGAAATACTTGAATTACCTTGAGAATTGAGGAATGTTTCTTGAATATCTTTTCATAAAGTTTCTTTCTAAAATGAGTTAAACTGACACCAAAAAAGTTCAAGAAGTCAACGAAGTTTCCTTTTTTACATTTCACATTAAGTTTTAACGAGTATATCCATATTATGAATTCTGGTAATTCTGCTGAGTGATATCTAATATATATTGTACTCCTTCAGATTTCTTTTGAATCTTTTAGCACACAGAGCATACAAAATTAAAGTGACCAAATTGAAAAACTTAAATCTCAAAAATCCATTAATTACGATGTCTGACACCTGTATGAACTCGCTGATGCTGAATAAGATTTGTACTCTGAGTGAAGGTTTTACCACATATTCGACATGCATAGGGTTTCTCTCCTGTGTGAATTCTCTGGTGTTGAATAAGGCATGTTCTCTGGCTAAAATCTTTGTCACATTCATTACATTTATAGGGTCTCTCTCCAGTATGAGTTCTCTGATGTTGATTAAGCGATGAGGAATAAATAAAAGCTTTCCCACATTCATTACATTTATAGGGTTTCTCTCCAGTATGGATTCTTTGATGCTGAGTAAGATTTGCACCTTGTCTATATGCTTTCCCACATATATTGCATTTAAAGGGTTTTTCTCCATTATGAATCCTCTGGTGTTGAGTCAGGTGCACACTCTGGCTGAATGCTTTCCCACACACATTACATTTATATGGTTTTTCTCCAGTATGTGTTCTATGATGCTGAGTAAGGTTTGCACTCTGGCTGAAGGCTTTCCCACATATATTACATATGTAGGATTTCTCTCCAGTGTGAGTAGTCTGATGCTGAATAAGAGTTGAGGAATGAGCAAAGGCCTTTCCACACTCATTGCATTTATAACACTTTTCTCCAGAATGAATTCTCTGATGTCGAATAAGGTAAGTGCTCTGGCTGAATACTTTCCAACACTCATTGCATTTATATGGTTTCTTTCCAGTATGTATTTTCTGATGCTGAAGGAGGTGTGTACTCTGACTAAAAGTTTTTCCACATTCATTGCATATATAAGGTTTTTCTCCAGTATGAACTCTTTGATGATTAATTAGTGATGAACTATGGCTGAAGGTTTTACCACATTCCAAGCATCTATATGGTTTCTCTCCAGTATGGGTTCTTTGATGTATAGTAAGGTGCGCGCGCTGACTGAAGTCTTTTCCACAATCATTACATTTATAGGGTTTTTCTCCAGTATGAATTCTCTGATGTATAGTAAGGTGTGCACGCTGGCTGAAGGCTTTACCACACTGGTGGCATTCATATGGTTTTTCTCCGGTATGCATTCTCTGATGTGCAATGAGGGATGAAATATGCCTAAACTCTTTCCCACATTCTTCACATTCGTAAGATTTCTCTTTGGCATGGCTACTTTGGTGTTTCAGGAGGGATGGGTATTTCCTAAATTTTTTCCCACACACATTGCATTTATAAGGCTTATCTCCAGGAAGTATTTTCCTATATACAGTACCATATGAGAAATTATTAAAGACTGGCTTGTCTTCACTATATGTAAAAGTTTTATTATCTGTTTGGGTATCAAACTGTCTAGTTAGGTTTAAGTGCTTTTCAAAATCATTTCTATATATGTCATATTTACTAAGATATTCTTCTGTAGGATCATCTTGTGAAAAGATTGACTTCAAACTGAAATTTCTTTCATTGATGGGAATTTTACTGAAGGTATCTGTTGCTTGCCTCTCTAATCCATCATCATAGTCATAAAGATCTTCCAACTTGACGGTTTGTGTTCCATCTTGTTTGAATTCAGGAACATTCTCTCCTGGAATACATGCTTGGGCTTCAGTTTTGCATTCTGAAATAAAAAAAGAAAACAAAAGTCTTCCTTTGAAAAAAGAAGACAAAACAGTAAATGTGAATGAAATGCTTAACCGCTATAGCTCTGACAACCTCATTAATTAACATGGTCCTTAAAGCTAAGGAAAGGAGAATAAGAAGATAGAAAAACAGAAGACTAAATAGTGGAAAACAGAGTCCCTCCTGAGCATGGGTATATGCAGTCAGGTGACAGTAATAAGAAGTAAAAACAGCAGATAAGACTGTGGGATAATTTGAGGTTATTTCACAGTAATTTATATAGTGGTTTCATAAAGTAGATATACTGATTCTTATCACTCTGTCTTTCACAATTCTACATAACATTCCTAAAGCAATCTCATGGAGGGCATTCTAAGCTAACATGTCTGTAAATCTGATAGCCTAAAGTAGTGGTTCTCACAGTACAGTTCCTAGGTTAGCAAGATAAGCATCACTATCACCTGAAAATACTTAAAAATTCTGGGGTCCAATCTAGCCATACTGAGCTAGAAATCTGGCAATGGGGCTGAGCAGTTTGTTTTATCAAGTGGCTTTGCTGCACACTAAAGTTTGAGACCTGGGGACTTAAAGGATAAAAGTTAAAGAGAGAGAGCCGGGGGCACCTGCCTGGCAAGCTTGAGGTCTTGTGTTCAATCCCTAGTACCAAAAAACAAAACAAAACAAAGGTTAAAGAGAGAAAAAAGAGGGCGAGGGGTGTACTGCAGCGAGACAGCACCTGCCAAGCATGTGCAGGGCCCTCTGGCTGAATCCCAGCAAGAGTGAGAAGATTTCAGGTATCTTTACTTGGCATTTAGTCTCAAAAGCATCAGCCTTTTCTATTTAACTGTATCTTCTACATTATATATTTAGCTTAATTTAAATGTGAAGTTATCCTCTACTTCCACAGTTTATAGCTGCCATGCTAATCCCAGACTCTACACCTCTTCTGATACGTTTTTCACCTGTTAAAAGAAATGTTTCTTGCCTCGTGTTTGCTTCTATAATGTATTCTCTTAGAATCTAAAATACAGCCAGGGATTTAGCTCAGTGCCTGGCAAGCACAAGGTCCTGAGTTTGATTCCTGCTATAACAAACAAACAAACAAATAGACAAACAAACAGGGTAGGTTGAATCATACATGAAATTGTCTTTTTTTAAGAACAAAATAGCTGAATATCTGCAATTTCAGGATGGTTCACCCTAACACAATGTTGTCCCTAGGACAGAACCTGGCATTACATGATTATTTCACAATTTGTTGTGTTTTATACTGCAACTTAAATATAAACTCTTATAGCTTATGTTTCTCTTACATTTTTTTCATAAATTGGCTGGAGACTCTGGATATAGTAGCCACTAAACTGAACTAGTAAAATAAAAGATAATCTCTTGTAAAAAAGTGAACTCAAATGAGAGTATGCACGTATGTGTGTATCTGTGTATGTGTACACACACACACACGCACCCACACAACCAAATATAAAAACCAAAAAAAACCTTGCTGTATGGCAGTCAGATTGATGACTATTATGTTATGTTACGGTACTTTTGTAACTAGGTGTTGGAAGCATAAAACTTGTAAGTACTAAGCATTACATAACATATCCATAGCAAAATAAGCCACCTGTCTTAAAAAATAAAAAAAGAAACAAATGTTCATCACCGGTCATTCAAGAGAGGCAAATTAAAACAATACTGAGATTTTATCTCACTTTGGAAGAGTGGCTATTATCAATTACAAATGGTGGTGAGGTTGTGGTGAGGCTTTCTCCACTGTTGCTGGGAGTGTAAACCAGTACAAACCAATATGCAAATCAGTAAGGTGATTCCTCACAAAACTAAAACTAGCGGTTCCATTTGACCCAGCTAGTCCCACTAGGACTATCTTCCTGAAAGTGAAAAGCATCATGCCACAGCACTATCTGCACACCCATATTTACAGGAGCACAATTTGGAGTAGATGAATCTTGGAAATAGCCTTGATGCTCATCAGTGGATGAATGGATAAAGAAGATGTGGTTTTTATATACAATACAGTACTCTGCCATAAAGAAGGATAAACTTGAGATGTTTCTAGGTAAATGGATGCACCTTGAGACCACACTTTTAAGTTAAATAATTTTTTTTTTGGTACTGGGGATTGAACTCACGACTACGCACTTGTAAGACAGATACTTGTGCTGCTGAGCTAAATCCCCAGCCCCAAGTAAAATAAATTTGTCACATATGACCTTGTTTCTCTTGTGTGAGAAACTGAAAGTGTAAATAAAGATCAAAATGATGACAGATATTGGGAAGTAAGAAGGAAATGTTCAAATGGGAAGGCAAACAAGGAGAGGTGGAGAGAGGAAGGAAGGAAGGGAAAAGGAAAAAAGAATTGGAGGAATAAAATGGAAGGAAAGTTCTTGTAAATAAGGAGGGAAAGAAAAGCTGAAGGAAGGGAGGGGAACAGAGAAGAAAAGAGACATCAAGGGACATTATGTACAGGCACAAATTTCCTATGAGGAATGTGATACACATATATCTAATAAAACTGTTTTAAAAGAACTGTATGATGTGATACAATCAAACGTACAAATTATAATGTAGCCAAGATGGAACTGGACATGTTCAGCAAAGCCTCATATGTTCAGAGTTGGGGCTCCCAGAAGCATCATGGGGGTGCTGTGCTCAACAGTGGATCATCCCAGGGGGCTCAGTGTCCTGACAGTGCTCCTGGGAGGTGGGAGCTGGCTGGAAGAGCTGGGTTACTGAGGGCCTGACCTAGCAGGGAGGTTTTCCTAGCCCACATCCTCCCTTCTCTCTGCTTCCTGGCAACCATGACACATTAGCTTCTCTCTGCTGAGACCCCTCCACCTGCCATTTCTGCACTGGATGCAGTCAACTGCGGACTGAAACTTCTAAAACTATGAGCTAAAATGAACTTCTCCTCCTTTACGTTGTGGGTGCCTGGTATTTTGTCCTAGCCATGAGGAAAGTGACTAAGATAGGATGGTTCAGAACCTCTCCAAAACACAGCTTAAAGTATAATGGCTTTATCAATATCTCCATTTAATTTTTTTTTTTTTTTTTGAGATTTCGTTATGCAGTTCAGGCTGGTCTTGAGCTCACTTTTTAGCTCCGGTTGGTCTCCAACTCACAATAATCCTCCTGCCTCAGCCTCCCGAGTGCTGGGATTGTAAGTGTGTGTGCAACCATGCCCTGGGAATATAGGTGTGTGCCTCCATGCCTGACTAAATATATCCATTTAATAGAATATTATAGTGCCACTGCAAGTGATAGCTGTATCAGGAAGGCCTGGTTAGAGCAAGGAATAAGGGAATGCTGGTAATTGGTAAAAATAATTAGGTTGGCCTAGGCAAACTGACTTGAAAAGGTGTGCAGGACATGTTATTAACTGAAAGAAAGCAAGTGTCTAACAGTAGAAAATCTCACCTGTGAAATGGGATGCTACATGACAGACAGACAGCAGATAGACAGACAGCCAGAGAGACAGATACACACACACACACACACACACACACACACACACACACAGACAGACCCAAGGGGACAATGTCTTGGCACTAGCTCAGAGGATAAAGACATATGTTTTCTTGTACTGCTTGAATTTACGAACTATTTTTATTTGAACACAGAACAGCTGACACCAGAAAATATCTAGAAATAATGTTAAGTGAAAAAAGCAGTGTCATAACCAGCATGAAGTAGAAAAATGCTGACTGTAGGTTTTCTTTTCAAAGTTTCAGTAAATCACCTATATTACTTTTTCTGCTATTCAGTACTAGAACTGTAGTTGTTTTACTTTTATATAAGAAAAATTAAAAATCCACTTTCTCAAACCAGGATTCGCTACCCCACCCCAAAAGAACAAAATGACGATGTGACTGGATCGAACACAAAAAAATGAGCTGTCACAGAAGCTCAGTTTAATTTGGCATAGTCAGAATCAGTCTGTGGCACTCTACATGCACCCGAAACAGTTACTTGGCTTTGATTCTGTTCTGTTTTACAGAGCTGGGGATGAAACCCAAGCCTTGAGCATGCTAGGAAACAATGCTATTACCGAGCTTCGTACCTCATCCTGTAGTTAAGATTAATAAGCTTAAAGTAACAAGCCTGAATGGTGGCTATGGGTAAACTGCTACTACAGCAAAAATACAGTGAAAGTCAGTTTATCAGAAATTCAGAAATAGAGGTCATTAAAGAGGGCACAAATATATATATAAAACTGATCAGATTGCTTGGCTACAAGTGTTAAGTATTTGTTGGTTCAGAGGTCAGAGGAGAATCCTTTGTAAACATAAAGAACCATAAAAGTTCCAAGTAATGGCTGTTGAAGGCCATGACTACTATTCTATCTGTGAATTACCAAACTGTAACTGATTAGGTATTTTAAGTAAGGGTTAGCTTATATATTTCTGAGCTGGCAAGACAGTAAAATCCTTAGAGGCCAAAACCCAAGCAAAAGTAGGAAGGTAGGAAGACAGAGCTGAGTCTGGCTCCCTTGAGACGGTTCTTTAATCTGGGTACAAGGGGCCAGGGCCCCAAGATAAAGCTGGGGCTCAACAAGATGGGAAGTCTAGAGGAATCTCTTGTCCAGAGGATTACACACCATAGAAGGGGGCAGGCTAGAAAAGTAAAATCCTCAAACCTCAGGGCACACAAAATAACTTGCTTTTTCGAGTCTCTGTGCTCTCTAGAGAACAAAATCTCCCATAAACTGGGCCTCTTCATGGTTATATAGCTCTGACTTTTGTTCTATGAATGGTCTAAAATACTCACGCTGTGAGGTGAAGTTCAAGTGTCTCAGACCGGCTGCATCTCCCAGAAGGCTATCCCAGCTCTAGTTAGGATTCTTTTCATTACACTATGTGAACTTTCTCAGTGTCTACAATGTGCTAAATTTATTCTTCAAAGAACCTAGATGTCAAAGATGTGTCATTCTGCCAAACGAGGCCATAAATTATGACAAAGAACTAGCTTGTAAGGTAGTATGACCCTTAAAATACCTAATGACCAAAGTAAGCATTTGTTTGCTCTTAGTACTGGGGATTAAACCGAAAGCTTTCAAGTGATAGGCAACTTACTTTGCCATGGAGTCACAGCCACAATCCTTTATTTTAGAGATGGGGTGCTAAGCTAAGTTTCACAGCTGGCTTCAAACTTGGGAGTCCCCTTGTCTCAGAGTAGCTGAGATTACAGGTGTGTGCCACTGCAGCCAGCCGCAAGTTAACTTTTCAAAAAGAGTGAAGCAATTTACTCTAAAGTAAAGTAGATATTCTGTCATTATTGTATGATACACTGTTAATTTTGTGTTCTCCTATCAACACTGGTAGATTTATAAGAAATCAGTGCCTTAAATAAAAAAAAGGTATAAAGAAAGCAAGATGCAGGAAGATACAGAGTTTTTCTTGTGTATACAAAAGGAGATATAAAAATATATTATTCATTGCTGCTAAATGAAACAGAAAGGATAATGCAAAAATGAATAAATATGGTTACCATATAGTTGATGAGACTCACGTAGAAAGAATGGGGTGTATACCTGTTTATATAGTTATGGCTTCTAGCTATGTTTTAACGTTTTCAAAAATGTAAAAGAATAATCCCCCCAACCCAAGAAAACAATACCCTTATAGCATATATTCTAAGGACAAAAAGGACTTCAAAGAAATCTTGAAAATTTATAGACAGTTTGTTATTGGTAGTGGTACTGATGTAATGCTAAAACTATTTCCAAAACATGACAGAGTAAATAAGTAAAAACATTGATGTTGGTAGAGCTAGGTGATTTATTATGTAAGAAAGGTATCGTTAGTGATTGATAACCTGGGTCATCTTGAGAAGTTCAGAAGCTTAAGAGACTCAGCAGGGGCCTGGGGTCCTCCCTTTGTAAACATTCTCAACCTGCACAAGAGAGCACCAGATGGTGCGAGTACTGCGCTTGCTCTAGGGCGGGTAGCTTGCTTTCAATATGAGGGAAAAGAGGTTGTTCTCCCTGTGTTGGTCTTCTTGCTTTTGCTCCTTCTGCTGCCATGAATGCTTGCTCTTCTGCCATACCACCCTTCCTCAGAGCCGGTGGATTATGCACTGAAACCTCCAAAAACTGTGAGCTAAATAAATCTTTCTTTCCTGAATTTTGGGTGTTAGGTATTTTGTCTTAGCAATGAGAGAAAAGTAACTAAGACAGTGATACATAATGGAATATGGGAATATATAAAATGGAATACCCTTGTGGTTTTGAATTCGAATTATAGTAATCAGTATGAATTTATGACATGCACCTAGCAATTAAAAAATTTTTTTTGGTGTGTGTGTGGAGGATGAAGGTTTGCTACGATGCCCAGCTGACCTCGAATTTATGATGCTCCTGCCTCAGCTTCCTGAGTGGCTGGGATTATAGGTACATGCCAATTCATGACTTTTAAAGAAAAAACTAAACACACACACCCATACCCATACTCACACACACATTTGCCTTTTAAATTTCCCAGCTGTATTTATTGAACAGCTCTGGAAGCAATGATAGTCACAGGAATGAGCAGATTGTGGTTTCTAATATTCTCCATTGAAATGAACCAAGATTCCTGGCAGAAATTCTAGGTGTAAGGTAAGCAGAGGTGAGCCTGAAGAATAATTTGTTATGACAGAGATCAAGAAGACGCTCAAAGATAAATGGGTCCTATCAAAAGGATATTCAGCTTGGTCAGAAGGGCTCATTGTGTACCCATTGCTCCAATCGGGTACACATGAGCACTAGAACAAAAAAATGAACAGCTTCCCTCAATTAGGACTAATGGACTAATAACACTTTGAAGTCCTCAGAGTTCCATTATTTCATGACATTCACATGGATGAAAAAGAAGAGGGAGCACAGCTGTTCTTTGCAGAAGCAGTTAATCATCTGGAAGAGGCTGCTGAATCAGAAAGTCACCATTTGCCCACCAGCAGTGTAACAAGGTGAGGATCATCAATGGGTTCCAAAATCTTACGAAGTTATTAAAGAATAGCAGTCACATGACTTCACAGATTACTTACGAAAAATGCACATTTAAAATGGAGAGATCTTGTAGACTCCATCTTAAGAAAACTGAGCCAACCAATGATGAGACAAACTGACATTACTTGCATCCTGTGTGAATGTACAAAAAAGTAACATCATCTTTGAAATATCCTTGGGAAAATGTTTACTCTGAATCTGATCATGAGGAAACAAACAGGCAAATCTAGACTGTGGGTCATCGTAAACAAACAAACAAACACAAATCAAAAAACTGGTCTGGATCTTTAAAAAGGTTAGCATCATGAAAGATTTAAAAAAGGGAAAAAGGACGGAGGTCAGTTCTATATAAAAAGGACTAATAACGTCAGAAATTAGTGCATCAGGTGGTTCCTGGCAAGGTCCTTGCCTGAGGAGAAAAATAACTACAAAGAATAGTTTTAGGATAGCTGAGGTTCAGCAGTGTTCAATGGATGTTAAATACGTGGAGGAAGAACCATGTGCTTATATAGGCAAATGTCTTCGGGGAGACATGTTATTACTAACTTTGGAATGGTTCAGAATAAAAATAGTGTCCTTGTGTAGCAATAAAGTAAAATGGCTAAATGGTGATTATAAGGACTCTGGATGAAAAGTAGTGTATACAGCTGCTCAGTGTACTGTGCTCCCAACTCTTCTGTGTGTTTGAAGTTTTTCAAAATTAAGTTGTTGAGGAAGAAAGCAGTGGGACCAATCAGGAGGCTGAGGCAGGAGGATTGCTGTGTGCTCAAGGCTGGGTTGGGCTGCAGTGTGAATTCAAGGCCAGCCTGAGCTACATAGCAAGACTGTCTCAAAAAAATAAGAGAGAGAGAGACAGAGACAGAGAAATGGTGTTTGAGGGCTCTCTTCCTGAACATGGCCTCTGTAGGAAGCTATGGCCAACAGCTCACAGTTTTTGATGGGCTTTCAGGTCTTTGCAAACAGTGACTTGGCCACATAAAGCTCAACAGACTTAGGATGTAACTCCTAAGAGTAAAGATGTTTTCTCACCTGGACTAGGGCCTTCTAAAATTTCTTTTATCACCATCCATGGTTCTTCCAGTGTGGGAATCACAGTTGGTCTGTACACAGTCAGTCCTGTTCAGGAGGAACACAATGCATTTTAATCCTGGAGATAAACAGCTGTGCCTAATTTATTACCTAAATTAACTGATTTCTTGGACCCTTAAAGAAAAATAACAGTAAGGGCCAGGGATTTAGCTCAGCGGCATAAGCGCCTACCTGGCAAGCATGAGGTCATGAGTTTGATCCCCGGTACCGAAAAAAAGAAAAGAAAAAACAAAAATAATACTTTATGGACATGAGAACTCGGTCTCATCCTTTCAGAGCTAGGATAATAATTTCCTGCTACCAAGAAAGTATGTCTCAGAGATCCTGGGGGCAGAATTCTTCCCACACAGCAAGGCCAATGGGCAAGGCCAGCTGTGGCACTGTCAAACTATACACTCAATGAACTTTCATTCAGAACATTTTTGCGCCTGAGAGAGGCGACTATTCACCTCTGGATCTTATTTTTAGGCAGGCAGTTCACAGCTTAAACTACTGTTAACAACTATGGGTAGAAAGATACTCTACATTCCGGGAAGAGGAGTATAGACGATACCTACCGAGAGAAACCATGTTCCAATAGTTTTGTAATGTCACAGTCTTGTACAGTTCCTTCTGTACAGGACGCATTAGCTCCCAGTCCTCTTGAGTAATGTCCACAGCCACATCTTTGAATGTCATTGATTCCTAAAATATCAAGTATAACCTAACTTGGTTCAAGAACTATGGGAAGGAGCATAGTGGTAACAGGCATGCACAAAGCGATGGCGGGGGTCACAGGGTCTTAAGCTTTAGGCACCCAGAACTGTGCATGACTCCACGGTATCTCTCAACAGCCTTAAAGGGAAGTTTAAAACAAAACAGAATTTGTTCTCAGTGGAACACACACTAACGGTTCAGTCTTAAAGGAGAAATGGACTGGGGATGTAGCTAGGTGGTAGAGAGCTTCCCTCGCATGCTCAAAGCCCTAAGGTTGATCCCCAGCACCATAAAAGGAAAAAGGAAAAAAAAAAAAAAAAAAAAAAAGGAAGCAAAAGGGTTTGAAAATTTAAAGCTGGGTAATAGAGTTCTATGGTTTTGCCTTTCAAGATTTGCCGTAAGAATTCAGTATTTTAATTTAAAAAATTTTATATGGTCTGTAATGACAAGCAAAGTAATTCTTTAGTTTTATTTTCCTCTAGAGCTAGGGACTGGAGCCATGACCTCATGTGCTCTACCACTGAGCTACATCCCTAGCCCTCTTTTACTCTTCTTAAAAATAACACCGGAACCAACAAAGACACTGTTAACTGATGCACTTTTAGACTACTTCACATTTTGGTAGCTTAGTGGCCCTTCCTTTGTCTCTCTGGTTAAAAACAAATTGATGATTATTTTGGAGGAGCAGAAATGGGTCCAGAACTCAGGGCCTTCACACTGAGCTACATCCCTGGCCCTTCCTATTTTTTTGAGGAAAGTTCTAAGTTGCCCAGACTAGACTTAATCTTGTGATCTTCCTGCTTCAGCTTTCTGAGTACCTGGGATTACAGTGTCATCACACATGGCTCTTGATTATTCCTATGTGCTCATTTTTTCATATAATTTTTAGTCTCCTAAAAAAAATCCTTTTGGGGCTCTTGTGGCTTTTCCCACATCACCCCGCCTTGCTTTCTCCAGGGTGTCCTTGTATTTTTTTTTTTTTTGTGGTACTGGGAATTGAACGTAGGACTCGTGGTTGCCAGGCAGATGCTGTGCTGCTGAGCTATATCCTGGCCCCACCCAGGATGTCCTTTTATCTTGCTGTTTCCTCTTTTACCTGGTCCAAGCTTGCTCTGCACAGCCAGTTTCTCTCTTACTCTTCATTTTTACTTTTCCCCCTGCTTTTTGAAAAAAAAAATTCTTTTGGAATATTAAAAATCTCACTTTGAATTTTAGAGAGAACTAGCGGGGCATGGTGGTACAGGGCTGAGCAACTTGGTGAGACTGTCTCAAATTAAATAATACAAGAATAGAGATATAGCTCAGTAGTAGAGAACTTGTCTAGCATGCATGAGGCCTGGGGTCAATCCTCAGTGAAAACAAAAACAAAAATAAAACTCATGATCAAAAAGTATACCACATAATACATGACCACCAATTACTTGTTCATAAGGGAAAATAATACTATTAACTATTATTCACTGCTCACTAACTGTAATTTAGGATAATAACTAATCTCAGCATTTAATCCTTACACTCTAAGAGGTTAAGAGTAGTTATGTATCTTGTCCCAAGCCAGCTTTCGTGTTGAGTCAGGAACTAAAACCATCTGGCTATGAAGGTAAAATGTCTTACCTTTATTGCTAATTAAAGGTATATTAATGGAAGACAATGAAAGCACACTTCCCTAACAGGCCAAGGAAGAAACCTGAGGCTTAGGTCCTAGATAAGGCTTTTGAGGCATAGTTGTTACAGGGGCAAGAAAAAAAAAATTCTTATATATTGTCAAAAATCACTTTAAAAATCACAACCCCTCAAACTCACTTCTGTCACCAAGTCAGTGAACCACTCTGACTGAAAAGCGTATTTTCCTCTGGTGTCTTCCTCTGCAGTATCTTGGGGAAGGGCACAATTCTGAGGAGCTAAGGAAAAGAAAAAAAGACTGTGAAGATTAGTCCTATTTATATAGCTTAGGAAACCCTTCACCAAATACATTCCTTGACTCTTTACATCCCTATGTAAGAAGTCAAAAGAAAACCAGCACTCATATTTCCAAGAGTTAGAGGGACCTTTCGGCCAATGATTTATCCTAAAACACCAATGCAACAATAAATGTATGCTGAGACCTTTAAGTAGAAAATCTACAATTTTCTACTAAATCCTTATTTGAGATCAGTTTTGTCAGTAGTCTCTTTTGCTAATAAGGGAATATTCTTTGGACACTTTCTATCTTTGGAAGTATGTTATTTGTATTGGTCAACTTTCCCATTGCTGGGACCAGAAGCCCTGATACCTATTTGGAGGACAGGCTTAATTTGGCTCATGGTTTCAGAGCATTCAGTTCATGGTTGGCTACAAAGCAGCAACATGACAGAAGGGCATGGTGGACCAAAGTCACTCACCTCACAGTGGCCAGGAAGCAGAGCAGAAGACTGCCAGAGAAGAAGGTGTTAGGGGGACCACATGGAGTACCCAAGCTCACATCTCTGTTACCCACCCAGAGATCCCCAGAAGTGTGCTTTACCTCCCCTGGGTAGCTAAGAAACCAAGCTGACAATGTAGCATAACTGTCACATTATTACAAAACCCAATTCTCAAAGCAAATGACCAGTAGAGGAGTGTAAACTTCTGCAAGTAAATTTCCTGAGGGTTTACACAAATTAATTTGATTGTGTCTAAGCATTATTTCATGACATTTTCCCTCCGAGTTTCATTTGGGTTTGGTCCCAAGCAATCTGGAAGGGGGACACTGCAGGATGGAACTTATGCTAAGGCCTTTTCCTCACTCAGTGACCTCTGTTCTAATTTTTTTGATGGGGCTGCTCTCTTCTAACCACCCAGGGATTCCTCCTTTCTCTGGTGTACAGTTCTCACCTTCCTCTTCTAGAATCCGAGTCAACTCTTCCACCAGAGTCACCACTTCCTCTGTAGTCTCTGGATACTGGGACTTGACCCACGTCCTAACCTCACCGGGAAGGATGGTTAGGAATTGCTCTAGCACCAGCAGCTCCAGGATTTGTTCCTTTGAGTGGATCTCAGGTCTTAACCATTTAAGGCAGAGCTCTCGAAGTTTACTCAATGCCTTTCGAGGACCAGCCATGTCTGGGTATGGAAAATTCCTAAAATTCTGTCGACAGGTCTCAGTATCACACAAGAGTCTTGGAGTAAGAGTTTGCTTTTCTAAATTGTGAAGTCCACCTTGGGGCTTGTTTGGCTTCCACATCCGAAGGATTTGGGAACGTGAAGAATTGTTCATCCTCTTTCTTGAGGCGAACATGGCTACAGATTTAGACAGTCAAGCTGGCAATATCTTTTATTTCTCCAGTAATGAGCCAACTGCTTGGAGTATCATTTTACAGCCACAAAAACATATCAAGAGCTGCGGCAGCTGGAGGCAGAACAGGATGAAGATAGCAGCCTTAGTTACAAATTTTGAGCCCAGAACTTATAAGGATGAGTAAGAGACCCTGAAACACAAGAATGGACCACAAGGTCAAGAAATCTTGATGTACTACCATACACATATATACAGAAACATACACCCCAGTGTGCATAAACACACATAGGTTTTATCTTGGTTTTCCACCTGTATGCTGGGTAGAGAGTGTGTGGGTGGGTCTGAAGGTGGTGCTATTTTTACAAGGTGGTGGTACAATAAACATTAGCAAAAATAATTAACTTGTAACTTTCTGAAACAAACATTAACATTTTCACAGCAAAACATCTTTCAGTATTTTAGTCACTGATGTCACAGAAGCTGTAATGTCTAAACTGGTTCTCAGCAAGAGTACACTTACTGTTTGTGGGTACTGGAAGAAGAATTTCTTCTTAGTAAAGTGTTCAAGGTTCCCAAGAGAACCATGAAGGGGAAAAATGGGCGAGTCATCCATTCGCTTCGTATGTTATTGTGGGCCTATTACAGGTTTTTACTATCATCAGGCTAGGAAGACAAGCCGGTTGGACTAGCAAGCAGTCGAAGAGGTGTGCCTGAAAGCTATTTCAGGGCTTCTACAGGAGACAGTTCCTTTACAGATATATCTGAAGCCAGGATTCCGAAAGTAAACCTCAGAAGTAGCCGGACCTGGAGGAATATGACCCACACCCACTGTCCCCAGTGCCAGCTCTCGGCCCCCTTCCCCGTTCAACCAACAGTAGTGTCACCAAAGCCAACTGTTTACAAGGCCCGGTTTGTGTCGCCTGCCTTTTCAGGTTGTTCCCTCTTCTCTTTTAGCCGGAGAGGCCGAGAGCAGCTGAGGACCCCGCGACGCGCAACGCTGGGTCTGGGTCCCCCACAGCCGCCTGCAGCCCATCTTTGCACCTGCAGAAACCAAGAGTGTGCACGGGCTTGGGCTCCGGGCCTGACCGCGCGGACACTAGCGCCGGCACGTCATTACCTTTCGCTGGGATCCGGCCGCCGCGCACTCCGAACGGCTCAAGAGGCCACGGCAACAATGGCGGCGGCGTCACTGGCGCCTGCGTGGCGGATTCAGTCCTGGGCTGCGGAGGGGCCTCTGGCGCCGCCACTTCTCTCTCCCGGAATGCACAACGCGACTCGGACAGGAGTCGCAAGTGTCAGTCCGGTCCTGAGAAACCCAGCTCGGAACCAAGAACCTCGGTTTTGCTGCGACCTCGCCTCATCCCCACTGCGCATGTGCGCCAGCAGAACGCTGCGTGCCTGCAGAGCCAATCAGAATCCAGGTTCGGGTCTACCCTTCCACAGCCCCAGGCCCTGGACCTGTGTCCATGGCAACCGCCTCCACCCATCACTAGACTTGCCTGGTAACCTGAAGGCTTTGAAAAGGAAATTTAAAGTTTCTTAGGGCAAAGACAGGTCTGCTAGACGATTTAGAGGTCTGGGAGAGATCAGATGCTAGCGAAGCGCTTTGAGGTTGAGGGTCCGTGTAATTACCTTCAGAACGTTGCATGCTAGCGTTTCTGGGGAAAGATGGCACGAAAGAATTGGGTTTAAAGGGAGAAAAACCTGAAGTAGTGTTTTGGGATTTACTCTGCATAAACACTTAAAGGTTCTGCATTCCTTCTCAAGAATTTGATACATTCAGACTGGGAACACACACACACACAAACACACACACACACACACCCCAACATGTTACTTATTAGTTACAAAAATGAGAAAAGAAATGATAAAAAACACATTTCAAGGATTCCTGTTAAATACCGCTTTGTTTAAAAAAAAAAAAAAAAAAAGCTCCAGCCGGGCATGCTGCAATCCCAGGATAATCACTGTGAGTTCAGGCCAACCTTGGCTAGTAGTGAGTTCGAGATCAGCTTAGACTGCTTATCGAGACCTTGCCAGAAAACAAAACAAAACAACACAACACAACAAAACAAAATTCACAGAGACGATGTAACTGTCATAAATATGTTCCTAACATAAAGTCTCAAAATATTCTAAACAATAACTGATGTATTTGCAAGGAGCAGAGCATAATACCTGAAACAGCAAGTTTTAATACACCCTGCAGGGCATCCTGTGCACTGTCAGGTTCACCTATGAGAGCAGAGATACTCATTTTTCTAGCTTCCAAAGGAATATGGCTTCAGATTGCTCACAGCTAAATACCTCCTAGATAAATGAAGATGCCTCCCAGAAATTGCATCCCCCTCCAAACAGATATTCAAATAGCTGATCCTCTTGCTATAATTTGCAACTTATTGAATGGGCCATCTTGGCTTAACAGTCCCCCCAAGGGATCAAACAAAGCCTGTTACAGTTACACAGCACTTTAATTTATTATTCTTCCCAATCCTCCTTAAATCACACTTGAACAAGGTTTTTTTCCCCCACCTACAGAATGCTACCCAATAATTCCCTTATGTGAAATTTTCCATATCACACAGTTTTTAGGGATTCTTCCCTACAACAGTTGGTATCACCAATGATCTTAGGAAAACAAAGTGTAAACTGGGATTGTGAGCTGAATTATCTGCCAGATTGCTGGCAGTGAGGACCCTACTGCCAGGGACTGGTGAAATAGAGATAGCACATGTAAGTCTGTAATGATGTAATTGTTAAAAATGTCACTGATGTCAAACATTGGGGTACTGATGGAAAGAATGCTGGGGAGGGTAATATATCTCAGGTCTTCTGTTTTTTTTTGTGGTACTTGGACTTTAACCCTGGGCCTTCATACTGAGCTACATTCTTAGCTCCATTTTTATTTTGAGGCAGGGTCTTGCTAAGTTATTAAATTGTCCAGACTAGGCATGAACTTTCTATCCTCCTGCTTTAACTTTTTACAGATTGTGCTACCATCTGAAGTATCGTGCACTAATCAGGTCTACAACCTCCCAAATGAGTAGACAGACAAGGCTTAAATGAAAAAAACAAATGGTATGATTTTAGGACTCCAGGAGGATCAAAATCTCTAGCAGAATTTGAGATTCTCTGGGGGCTGAGACAAAGAACTTCTCTGGGAAGCCCATATTTATTTGGTTTTCAAAGGAAGGAAATTCTGAGACAAACACGGGAACTGAGCAGGACCTTGGGAATCAGTTCAAAGACTTTCCCAAGTAGTAACTTAAACCAATCAAGAGAGATATCTTATCTCTAGATTGACATGTGCTGCAGGAGTATGGAGCCTGCAGCTACAGTCTCTATCTAGTTAGTTGTGGTAGAGGCCAGGCATCCTCAGATGTGGCTTTGTCTTGTCATTTGAGGCATCATGGCATCACAGGCCACTATAAGCCTCAGCTGGGACCAGAGATTCATAGAGTTTCATTTACTGTGAATCTGCTGCCCATCTCCAGACAAAGGCCAAAGGCCAAAGGCCTGGGACAGACTCATAAGTGAACATGGAAATCCAATTGGTTAATTTTAAATCCTGCTCAGAGCTGCTTTTTAGTAATTTCTATCACAGAACAAAGGCCAAAGGCCAAAGGCCTGGGACAGACTCATAAGTGAACATGGAAATCCAATTGGTTAATTTTAAATCCTGCTCAGAGCTGCTTTTTAGTAATCTCTATCACAGAACCATAGGTCTTTATGAGGTAAAAGGAAGTAGTTATTCCAATTACTATGGAACTAGATGGTGTATTAGTTCAGTTTTGGTTACTATATCAAAATATCAGAGAGACAGTTTCCTTTATAAAGAAAAGAGGCTTATTAACTCATGGTGATATAGGGGAAAGAAACTCCTAATCTACTAGGTCTCCAGTACGAGTTCATGTTCTCTAAAATTGAAGAGTAAATTTTAGGAACAACAGAAGTTAAGAGCAAAATGTATTTATGAGAGAAAAAAAGCTTCTGTCTGAGAGAGAGACAGAAAGGGTCCCAAGTGGGTTACCAAAGACTGTCTTTTCTGGGAACTATTATAAAGTAAAAGCACAAAATGAGGCAGGTCCAAAATGGGATCTTGCAAGGTCAGCATAAGGTGAGGCAGAACTATAGCCAACCAATAAGATTATGAGTGTACTTACTCAGGTAAAATTGATTAACTCAAGGACAAATGGGAAAGCCAGTAACATAGCAAGTGAGCCTGCATATAGAGCAGTGACTCTGCCTATGGGGGGTTAGGTCAGTGATTCCTTGGCTTCCTCAGGGAGATAGAGACCTCTCTAGAATATCAGTCCCTGATGGCTTATCCTTAGGATATGGGTGCATTTATTTGATTTTTTTGTCTTGAGGTCTGGCCCACAGCAGGAGATGAATGTCTCCCCCATAGTTACAAAGTGTCTGGTCTTCTACACTGGTTTCTTTCAGGACCCAGCCTTATCTGACTGCCTGTAATATTTCTATCTAACTCAGCTGCCTGTAACAATGATTTTAAAGGACAGAAGTTCAGACAGCATGGCACAAGGTCTGATGATGGTACCCCGTGTGTGCATCACATCGTGGTAGGAACACATATGTATCTCTGTGTCTTGTGTTTCTCTCCTTCTATAAAGCCAACAGGAATCAGTTTTGAGGTTCCTCTCATTAATCTAATCACATTTCAAGGCTCCCACCTCTAAACATCTGTCTTGATTATTTTTCACATTGCTGAGACAAAACACGGGACATTAACCTTATTTCAGTTCACAGTCTGGAGGGGTTTCAGTGTATGGTTGGCTGGTTCGGAGGCACAGCGGCATGGCAGAGAGGCATGGCAAAGGAGAAACAGTTCATGTGTGGCATGCATAAGGCAGCAATGGAAGCAGTGGCAGTAGCAGCAGTTTGGCTTTCTCCCTTTGTGTGCCATCCAGGCTATAAAACTTAATTGGTGTCACTCACTCTCAGGGCGGGGCTTCCATTATCCACAATCCCACTATCACACTGGTAAACCCAGCATCACACTCTTAATCCACATCCACACAGCCTAACCCTACCTATGAAACTTTCCACCTATGACTGCCTGAGGTTTTGGAGGGGACATCTAGGTGCAAACCATGGTACCACCACAGATAAAGTGTCCACTCTCTTAATGCTGTTAACACATGACTTTGGGATTGAATTTCCGTGTTAGTTAGGAAGATGTACAAATCATAACATAGGGTTATTACTAGGAGTAATAATTACAAGCAAAGGCTCCTGGTAATTAATGGCCCATTTAAGGGAGAGTATACGAATCAGAGATCTTGAAGCATGATGGCAAAAATGCTGAGAACCAGGCCATAAGACTACGCTAAGATTGCATTAACTTTAGCTAAGAGAATTATCAACTCAAACACTGTCATGCCAAGTTTTGTACCTTGTTTGGAAGGGAGTAGAACTGAGATTTTAAATGGGGGCATTTTGATTTATGCATACATTTTGAAAACTGGGCCAAAGATTGTCTTAGTTCCATAGTAATAGGAATAACTACTTTCTTTTACCTCATAAAGACCTATGGTTCTGTGATAGAGATTACTAAAAAACAGCTCTGAGCAGGATTTAAAATTAACCAATTGGATTTCCATGTTCACTTATGAGTCTGTCCCAGGCCTTTGGCCTTTGGCCTTTGTTCTGTGATAGAGATTACTAAAAAGCAGCTCTGAGCAGGATTTAAAATTAACCAATTGGATTTCCATGTTCACCTTGTCCCAGTTTTCTAGGTGTACAAAAAAGAAGGGATTAAAAGGTTCAGTACAGTGAACATTTAGAGCGAGTTGCTTATGAAAGGCTGGAAAACTTACCAGGTGATTGCATTTCATTGGACAGTCTGGAAGATCATTTGCCGAGCTAAAGAAAATGCTGGTTAGAGAAACTCAGTAGTAACTGTCCTCTGTGGGGCCAAGGCTGGCAGCAGGGGATTTGTGACAGAACCAGGCTTCCTGAGAATGTCACTTAACCTTCAGAAACAAGGCAAACTTAGTTAGCAAAATGAACAGTAAGATCCACATGGAAGAGACTGGAAAGAGATGTCTTATCTTCAGAGAGCTATGGGGAAAATCAGCAGAATGTGGTATTTCTACATATTGATTACTGATCAATCCACTCAATCGAATGAAATGAATGAGTGATCGAGAGGCTAATAAAATTTAACAATCTTCCATCCAGTTTCCAGATTGCTCAGTTTTCACACCCCAAATCCTTTGAAAAGTCTACTACATTAAATATTCCTCAGCCACGGAAGACTTATGCCCATTTACACAGGTCCACTGGGAAAGGGGGATACTCAGAAGTTTCAGAACTGTGAAGTACAGGGTCTGAGTGAATCTGGAT